CTGTTGGTTTGTTCGTTTAATATTCAGAATTTTTGTGACTTCTTTTTTATTAAGATACAGTCAATCCTTTTGTAATATGGGAATTCGATAACGCGGTGCGAAAATTGGGACCGTCATCCTTTAATCTAATTAAAGTACTAAATGACCGGTTTTTAAATTTGATATGTAATTTTTTTTTTATTTTTAATAATATTATCGATAATATTGAAATTATTTTAACGATATTACTAGAGGCTATTTTCTGCGGTGTTTCTAATGTTAAATTGACAATCACCTGTATTGCTCTTGGAAAAATACGATCTTTATTTCGGCTTGATAAACTTGGCAACTCTCATATGCATTCTTCTACCGTTTCTAACTCTTGCCAGTTCTGGAGCACACGCACTCCGAGAAACGCGTTCCCCTAATTTCCATTAGTTCATGGTTTCACTTAACACGGAACGAATTAACCGTGTTACAGAAGGATTGACTGTATTTGATCCAGTTTCGTCTATTCCAAGATTTATCCATTTACAAATTAAAAGCAAGAGACTATATCCTCTCTCGATATAAAACAAACTTTCCATCTCGCTTAAATTATCCGAAACTTCGATACCTTCTCTTCCCTCGCCGTTGCTTGAAATTAACACTCTATCGGTAAAACACAGTTCGCGCAATTTTACCATCTGAAACTCTTTAACAGAGTCTCGTTTAACCCTTCGACAGTTTATCCCGTGTGAGCGTGAAATATCTAAGTGTTCAACTCAAGAGAGACTCTCAGGAAGAAAGTTAAAAAGAGACGAGATGTTATTATCGTAACTATCGCGGAGGATTCTGTAACTCGTGTTTTAAAAATGATCACACACGGTGCAACTATTAACCCCTTCACGTATGATTTTTTTTTCCTGACTGCACATCCGAGCGTCGGCAATTTACCGTTTGAGTATAACATCAATTAAGAAAAGCTAACGTATCACAGATTAATGAAATTTTGCAATCTTCAGTTTAACAAATGAAACGGAGAATTGGAATTAATTTTTCTTACCGATATAACTGTTTCTATCGGATCTCGACCAAAATCTGCGGCACGAGTCTGACTCGTTATCATACGACAAGGGGTTAATCAGTTAACTGCGGAATTTAGTTTTAAAAATCCCTCACGAGATGCGTAATTAAATATCTCCTATTATAAATTTAACGAAAGAAGTAAAGCAAAACGAGGAAGGATTAAATTTTCATTCGATAAAAAATTAACAATTCATTGTTGAAAAGGATATTGTTATTAAAAACTTAAAAATTGTCACAAAATAATAAAATTCATAAACAAGAAAAATAATCTTAAGAAATTCGGTTGATTTAATGCAAAGGAAACATACCGCCAAATGACATTTTCATCACTTCTTATTGAAATTTGGAGTTTTTATAGTAAATGGTAATTTTTTATTTTACACCACGAGTATACACGTCAACCCCACCGAAATAAAGTTTTCGATCGACGTGTATACACTGGTTAAAAAGATGTAAATTTTTTTCACCGTAATTCATAATTTCATCAGACCTCGCGAAAGGGTTAACGAAACGATTATCTCGAGTGGATGGGATAAATCTTGCAATAGTGTCCGTTTGAACGTTGTCGGAATATCGAAAGGCGGACACCATGGAAACGTGTACTGTACGTACTAGACCGGTGGTAGTAGAACTGACCTAATATAATTGTCGCGTTGCAGGCAATCCAGCTGCGATACGTGCTTGATACTGCTGCTACCTCCGTGGCCGATGTCCCAGACTTTAACGCACCCTTTGCCGCCTGTGTAGACGTACTTGGTCGGATTTGAGATGGTTACGGCGCACACAACCTCACCGTGAGTCAAGGTATTAATCTGACGCGCGTGACGTGGAATTCCCGGCCCTATCAGAGCGTCCGTGGGGAATGGCACCGGCTGCAGTTGACCCTCGCCGTTCATATGGAACGAGTACGCTCTGCGGTGGAATGCAAAACATTAATGCCGCTGTCCTTAGGTAATGGAACGCCTTCGATTACTTAACCCTCGAACAGCGGGACGGTGCGGACCGGCTGTCGCGCACGCATCGCGGTTCACCGGGTCAGAAATGACCCGACGATAAGAATTCCTTCTTTCTTTTTTTCTTTTCTTTCGTTAAATTCAAACTACAATTTTTCGTTACGTTTTTTACTACTTGATAACGTTAAGTATGTTATTAGAGAACACTTTGGAGGAAAGGTGGTGTTTTGCGAGACGAATTAGATTTATTATTTTTGGATACAACGTAGGACATGGGTGAATTTTCTTTTTTTTATTTCTGTGGGATTATTTTAGCTATGTTTAGTATCGTCGATGATAGAAATGTAATTTCTGGAGCATTTGTCGTTCTTTCGGAACTTTTCACATTTTTCTACTCTCAAATTCAGTCGCTTGCCTCTCCTCCGCGGTGTCTGAATACAATTCTGATGCTGATTTTTGAAGAAATAGTTTTCTTTCCTGTTTATATTGATTCGTGGTCTTTCGACAGATTCGTCATCCATAAATTCATCGATAGTGGATCGTTTTCTTTGATTAGGTACGGTGAATTTTTTGGTAGAAAATATACCAGAAAACCGAGGCAATTGTCGTTGCTATACCGAACGCATTCGACATGATTTCGGCGCATAAGTGAATGATCCGGCATTTGCGATCGGAGGGTTGAAATCCCGCGTGTCGCGGCGAAAGGCGGCCATCGAAACGATAATGCATCACGCGCCGCGCCTTTCAGATCATTCCACGCGGTCGACGTGACATTTTCAGAGACACCTAGAAGCTGCGAATGATCGTGCGCAATTCGACAGTATGTGACGTGTTTATTCGTTGAAATGTCGCGTAAACTGCGAGTTAGAAGCAAAGGAATGTTTGGATTGACGTTTGAATTTTGGTACTTCGAAGTTGCTCGTTCTAATGATTACTATGTAACAAAGGACTTTACCATTTTTGCCTTTTCTTTCCATAAGAATTACCGTGTTCTCAGGTGAATTCTTAAAGTGCAAGCTCTTTAACACTAGAACTACCGGTCGGGTCAAAATGACCCATTAGCAGCTTTCCAAAACCAGCGAATGTTCGATACACAGCAAGTATTACCATCTGTAACTTTTCCACTTTGTTTTCTGCGTGTATGCCTCTATTTGCACCGATCTAATCTAATTGTTCGTTCACATTTTAGTTACATAAAAATTCACTTTTGGAAAGTCGCTAATAGGTCATTTTGACCCGGTTGGTAGTTCTGGCGTTAAAGGTTAAGCTTTTCGGTCGACTCTCTAATTATCTAAAGATAATGACTTTAATTAGTTACGTACGGTTTACCACCCGGAATGTTGCTCAGCCCGTTACTCGATGGTATCCTCACGTGACCGTCGAAACCGAGCTGCAAAAGATAACGAGGCGTGTCAATTTTTATTCGTACTCTCCCAACGGAAATGCAATCGCTACTGAACAAAGAATAACGCAATAACGCTAACGACAGAGCGACGATTAAAACGACAAAATTCTTAAACCTAGAGATTAATTCTAAGACGAACCTACGCTAGAAACGATTCATCTTATTAGCGACAGATATAATGACTGGCGACATCTAGAAACATTACGTTTAGTGTGTAACGAAAGTATAACCTGCATTTAATAACAATTCAGTTAGTAGTCTTAAAAGTATTATTAAAACTTGTGATTTCAAGACGAATACCGAAAACATTGACATTTTCATTTTCGAAGAATTTATTTACATACATTTCATTAATTTAATTACAAAAAATAAAAACAATGTTAGAACAAACAATGCAAACTTTAACAATGAGTAGAGTTATATTAGCTAGTGGATCTCCCAGACGATATGAATTAATAAAATCATTGGTAATATTTTTATGCTATTCAAAAATTCATTATTGTTATATCAGGGAATTTTGTTTTTTAGCATAGTAAATAATATAATAACCTATGTGAGTGAAAACTAAATTCACCAAAAAAAAAAAAAAAAAAGAACAAAGACACTTTCACACGTTGAACTTATTGTCGTTGAAAATTCCTCAGCACCTCGGGTTTTGTGTCTTCCAAGTTGAACAAACGGTTAACAAAACGTAGATACAAATTTTTACGCGTCAGAAACACCGTTCTACGTGACGAAACCATAATTAACCACTCTTGCACCGTGACAATTTGACAAAATTGCTCGAAAACCTTGACAATCGCAATCCCAATACCGGAGAAGCTACGTCGTTCCAGAGAAAATGGTTGGCTTTAAAAAAAAAATAAATAAATAAAAAATAAAAAAAAAATGCCTTCTCATCCTATGTGTTTCCGAGAATCCACCAATACGTGAACACTTTGAGTGCCACGTCGGGTAATGGGTGCTGGCGCATGATTTTTACATAGCGCCGCGCCGGGTTATGGGAACCGACGTATGATTTTTGTGCAATCGCGTGTCGAGTGTAAGAGAATTGAAATTCGATCGCAGCAATGTAACCTATTATAACAATTATTCCGCTGAAATGAGAAATTACGTTACCTATTCTGAGATAAGGGAACTGTCAGTCGTATACAGTCCTGGTGAAAAGGGCATCTTTGCTATTACAAGTCACTGTGGAAATTATTTCTTTGAAACCTTTCTATTGTTCATTATTTGTCGACTACTGTAGACGTCTGTATCTTGTGTTTCTTTCACGTCAGCTTGTCTTTAGTTTTGCTGTTAACATTTTGAAAGTTAGAAAGTTCTCCTTGAAATACGCGAAAATAGTGTGAACCGAGTGACTATCGGTGCAAGTTAATTCTTCTTTTTTTTTTTAAACCAGGGTAAAATATTGGCAAAAGTAATAAGAATACGATTTGATTTCCCAATACGAAAATATTTCCAAACAATTCACATTTTATAGGCTGTGTAATACTCTCATCCGAGACTATACGAACGACGCAACGCCGCAATGGAGTTAGTCGGCAAACTTTCAGTGACAGTCACAATGTTAATCAACAACTGAGAAAAAAACCAAATATATAAAAAAACGTAACTCTCGTTTAAACTATCTATTCCTATAGTTCTCCCGAAACGCTTAAAAACTTCTAACAGTCCTACTTCATCCCCCGCCTAATACTTTCGTCCAGGACTACAAGAACGACGCAACATCGCAACGGACTAGCCAGAGCAAACTTCCAGCGACAGTCAACGTGTTGATCGACACCTCAGAAAAAAAAAAAAGAAAAAAAAAAGCAAGTAAACATTCTATTCAAGCTATCTACCGATACACCTACAGTTCCCCGCGAGATCGCTTGAAAGCGAGACGGGCGACAGACGAAAGACCGGAACGACGTGAAAAAATAAAGAAAAGAGGAGCATCTAGAACGGTGAAGTACCATCGAAGTCCTGGCGTATGGTAAGTTGCTGTACGGCGAAGGCGATTGTGGCGGCTCATTGCCGCGGGACGGCAAACCCTGATAGCCCTGCGGTGGCGTTTGCTGCGACGATGGCGGATGATAGACTCGCGATGCCAAGGGACCAGGGATTCCGCCCATAGTTGGCGTACAGCTGCGCGACCCCCTCGCCGCCGCCACAGGTGTACCCGGCTTGTCGATCTGGAGAGGTTCGTTCCAAACGGGGCACACCGGTTTATTATCGGGCGCAATCAAAGAAAGGAATTGTAAATTTCACGCTTGACTTTCGCACAAAAGCAACGAGACATATCGATCCTTGGTAGCGCGGGGCGGTTTTGTAAGCGGCCCGCTTCCGGTTCACCGATTTATACACGACGGAATACACAACACAGCATCCCGGGGCGCAAAATGGTGAGAGAGGGGTGGTGGGTGGGTTTGGCCAGGAGGAGATCGAAACGTGGGGGGCATTTCCTCTAGCGTCCGCGCACAAATTGACTTGTCGTAATTTCGCGCGACGAATTCCAGCTATGCGCTATGTGTACACACGATGCTCCAAGGGGAACAGCGAAATGTGTCTGTTGTTTTCGAAATCGCGAAAGCACGTTTTTTTTCTCTTCTTCCTCTCTCTCTCTTGATGTTCTGGTTTCTTTTTTTTTTTTGGTTTTGGTTTAGTTCGGATGGAGAGGTTAGTTCAAATTGGCTGGAGTTAACGTGAGCGTAGGATGGGAGCGGTGTAAACTTGCTCTCTGGAAGCCATTGCTTTTTAAGGTGGGTTCGAACGTAGCAGACTTTGGGTTGGTCTGAAAAATTAGTTGGTTCTGGTAGGAAGGTGTACTATCGAGGAGTTTTAATTGACAGTCGAATAGATATTCTTGTTGGAAAATAGTAAATTGTGCGTAAGTACTTTCTACTGTTGGAAGATTCAAATGCGTTGAAGTTGCGGTTGATTAAATTCAATTTCTAATGAAACGTTAATAAAAATCATCTGCTACTTGGAATTGTAAGTTCGATAATCGAAAATTGAGCGAATTAATCTTAATTTGAAAAGTTGTGAAAAATTCTTTCGTTAAAGATCTAAGACAGCGATCTTCGCTGTTCCAAGTTCCAAGAGGAGACAATTTCTTCTTCTCGATTCTCTTGACACGCGAATGAAAACTTTGCCTTCGAAAACTACAGAGTCATTTAGGTGTCCAGCCTTGAGCACCTCAGCATGCAGATCATAAACGAAATAATAATGTTTAATTTCTTTTACAAAAGATCGAAGGAGGAAAACACAAGTAAAAAGTGTGACTCCGGAGTGAGAATAGAACCGGACCGATTAGTCATCGAATAAGCTTGCTATCCGCGAGATCTTACATCTTTACTTTTCAGAGACGGTGTGCTACGGGCGGAGGAACTTCCGCTCCGCGAGGGTGGCCTGTCTTTTACGGATGTCGAGCCGGCACCGGAAATCGGTCCCACGTGTCCTGGAGCGCCCAGCTTCTCTAGGGTACCGTTCTCACGTGGATCTGAGTGTTCGCCGTTCGCGTGTGGCGATGACGCCTCCTTTTGTGGGAAAGAAAACACACTTTTCATGAAAATTGCTAAACCTAACGACCTCTCTTCCGTCTTACGCTAAACAATTTCCCTCGAAACGACGAGAAATCTCTTACACTTGTGCGCAATCTATACTCTTAAACGTACCAACGGGACATTAATAAAAATCAACGACACTCTCTTCCAGGGTTTTCAGCTCTGAAATGTAGGCAAATTTTTTAATCAGTTTGGTAAATGATTTTCGTAGAGATTTTTTTTCTTTTAAATTTGTGTTTTGCTCTTTGGGTGTCATTCAAGAGGCGTTTGAACATCTTCTGCGTTTTGATGATTGGACAAAACAAATATTAAACAGTGACAGAACGAAGTAACAGAATTTTTATGGAACGATCACAATTGGTACTCTATGTGACTTGGACGAGAAACAAACATATCAACGAGGCACGTTAACCCTTTCACTGTTACTGCTCACATTATACTCACGCTATATTAACACTTAATATTATCCTCCACGCATCTGCACCTTAATTTAACAAATCGAATTTTAAACAACAAATTTCCCCTTCTGTCACACACGTTGCGTATAAAAGTCTGCCGCAGCGATAGGGTTAAAGCTATCTGAAAGCAACCCGACCTTCTAAAATTCCAAAAACCCAGCCTCTGGTCATAAACAAACCAGCACCAAAATCAACCCGAAAAAACGGAAGTTCCTTGATTTTTATCGACAGCCCGTACGTACGTCCGTGTGTCCTCCGCCTAATGAATTCGCCGTAAAACACTCTGTATTTTGCCCGGTATCGTCGGTGTGAAAACTGACCTCGTTCGCGACATCCACCACCAAGTCCTGATCGCTCTTCTCTCCGTCGCTGTCCTGAAAGCAGAAAGAAGAGGAAAAAAAGAAAATTACAACTCCGTGAAAAAAAGAGAAAAAAAAAAACGACATCTCGTCACTGTGTACATCGATACACGTACACACACACACCTGGCCACGGAGTCGTCGTAATTCCCGGTATCGGGGATACATTAACGATCAGTCGGGAATATATTTCCGTCGAAACCGACATGGACGACCGAAAGAGTGGGAGGCAAAGGGAGGGACTCGACCTATATTCTCAACGCGTCTGACTAGCAGATGCATCTTCAGAGACATATTATTAATCTTGACACTCGTGTACACTCCCTCCCTCTCTCTCGGTCTCTCCCTCGGTCTCTCCCCCTCTCTCCATCTCTCTCCCTTTCGAAACGTTCTGATTGCACCGGCAACTTAATGGCCAGGCGTTCGACGAGTGCGCGTACCGGATAGAGAGCTCGCGTTTGCAAGCGTGTAAGCCACGCCACACACTGCAAGAGGAGGCAGAGGGAGGTCGGCGATGGAAGGGGAGGGGGGATGTAAATGCGCTTTGCTTGGCCGCACGGTTCCAGGGTATTTTCGCAATCAAGATTCTACGTGTGCGCCTGGTGGTCGTACGTGGAGCGTGGAAAATTCGCCCGATCGTTTGTCAATTCTGGATCTCGCTATGCTGCTCGTCGCGCGGCCCGCGTCGGCGTCGCGCGGCCAGACCGAGCGCCCGCAATGACGATCTTTGTCGCTGCTCGTAACGATGATTGCTTTTTCTTCGTATATATTGTGTAATGGTTCGTTTTTTCTCTCTCTCTCTCTCTCTCTCTCTCTTTTTCGTTTGTTTGCGGTGTGTAATTAATGTCGTTAGAGCGTTTGGATTTGTTGCTTTTCTCTACCGTGCGAGCTTTTTCCCTTTACATTCTTTTACACGAGACGATGTACTAATTTGATATTCGAGTATCAGTTTACGCTGACGACACGCTGTATCGTTGTATTGAAATTGATTAGATCAGGTTTTCCTGCGAGCGACACTTGGTTCGCTCGATTAGCATGATTCAGATGATAAGAATTTAATATTTGAATTTTATTATTTTTCAAATAATTTTTTTGAATTTCTAACGTTAATAAGAGAATTATCGATCCTGCAGAATTATGCTTATCAGGATATTACATAAAAAGTAACGATACGTTCTTCATTAACGTTAATTCGTTTTTTAATACGAAATATTGTGCTTTAACGTTTATTGTGTTGCGTTAGCGAAACTCTCAAATTTTCTAAACACTTATAAATATAATAACATGAAAAAGGAATCATTACCAACTTTACAAAAAGAAATGAATGTTCGATACTATTAAGTATTATCGATTGTTACTTTCCAATTTTCTATTTTTAACAAAATATTAAAATTTACAAAAATAATATTAACACGAGAATTACCGACCGAGTCAAAATGACCCACTAGCATCTTCCGAGAAAACGTGAATGTTCAATACTGGTGAGTGTTATCATTTGTAACTCTCCGAATTTATTTTCTACAGGTATGCTTCTATTTGTATCGATATGAATCGAATTTTCCAATTATGGTTTGCTTACGTAAAAATTCACTTTTGTAAAGTCGGTAACGTGTCATTCTGACTCAGCTGGTATCTAGTGTCAAAATTTCGTAAAAATGATTTTCGAATGTCTAATTTTTCCATCTGGTGTTAATTACACAAAAATTCACTCTTGGAAAGTCGCTGACGGGTCATCTTTGACCCGATCGATCGTTTTAATTATAAAAATCCCAGCAAACTCTAAAAAGTCTCGTATATTCTAAACAATACACCTTTCGTCTATTACAATTTATCGAATGTCACGACCATTCGCATACGTATACCAGAGCCAGTGAAACACTATCTTACAACGAGTTACTTCAAGACACTCAGCAGAAAATCAGCAATACCGTGTGTCACTGTTTACTCCATTACCCCGTACATCTTCCATTCGGGTCCGGAAAAGAGACTATCATTTACAAACAACGCAGCTACAGGGATAGGGAAAACGAGGAGAGGAAGATAGAGAGGGAGAGAAACGTGGACAAACAGAAGGGCAGAGTCTCCGGCTAATATATTACCGAAAGCCGTGGATAATGCACCGCAACGAAAGCACAATTTGTGGCTCATGTATCTTTTATCATTTGTTTACCAGTTATTTCCGAGTTTCTCAGCGAACGGATCGTTGTTTGCATCCGGTCTCATTGTGGGTCGCTTATAAAACGCGACACCGATACTGCGTATTGTGCACATACCTTACGCGCAACAACCGCAACTCGTCGCTCGCGAACATTTCGTTTCGTTTTCGTGCAACAAATCGCGCGTGCACGCTTTTCCATCGAGTGAGATGAATTCGAAACGTGGAAGATGAAAGAAGGATTCGTGAATAGAAATTCTGTGTTACGCTTGTTTCGAAATTTTTATGAAAGATTGAAACTGTGTGCGTGAAAGTTTCGAACATAACACACTTTGATTATAAACGTAATTTTTGGGTTTTGAGATTTCTATTTAGCAAAATTTGCTGGCTGAATGTTTAACTTTCGTTAAAAATTTGTATAAAGAGTTAAGATGGTAAATGTCTGATTTGGAATGTGAAATATTTTAAAGATAATTTCTCACTTGACAGAACACATTTTCATTATAAATGTAATTTTTGAGAATTTTTAGATTTCTACGGGCCAAAATTTATTTGGCGAGCGTTTAACTTCAGTTCGAATAAAAATTATAGGAGGAACGGTTGGGTATCGTTGCTACAGGGGCACGATGAGAACTGTTGTCGCGAATGCTATCGCACGATGGAATTCCGTTCGAGTATGCACGCGATACCTGAGGCATCTAAAGTGCCTGAAGAACTCGGTGTGACCAAAGTACGCGGAGGTACCAAGAGTACCTGAGGTATTTAGGTCATCCGTGGCTGGGCATTCGAAATCCTTAAGGAGTCCAAATTGTTCGTGGTATACGGGGTACCTGAAGTACTCCAATTCTCTGAAGTGTTTAAATTACACAGAACCACTGACATTCGAAAAGTATGAATATCATCCAAATTTCTGCATTCCCTCCTGAACGTTTAATTTCTTCTACAGAAGAAGCGATTACTATCTCTAAGAGTGAAATATTCCCAAGCTCAAAAATTTACACACTCAATTCGTTTAAGCGTTTAAATTACACTGAAATTCAAAATTCATTCTAAATACACTCAGGTGTGAAAAATAACAATATCATCCAAATTTCTGGATTATCTCCTAACTATAATCTTTCTTAAAATTTTTCTAAACTTAAAAATTTACGTATTCCAATTCTCTTAAGTACTTAAATTACACAAAACCACCGAAATTTAAAATTCCTTCGAAAATACACTCAAGTATGAAAAATATGATCATCATCCAGATTTCCTCCTAACTCTCTAATCTCTTCTACAAAATAGAATAATAATTATCTCAAAGAACAAAATATTCCCAAACCCAAAAGTTCACTAAAACAATCTCAGCTGAATAGCCAATTACTTACTATTCCAATCTTTTTTCTACTTATTCTTAAAAGCCTATTTAAAACACGCGATTAAATTTACTTAAACTTTCCATGGCTAATAAATAATGCGAAAATCCGCCGGCTAAATTACCATCTTTATATCTGAAACGCGTGGAAACGTTGTCCGGACTATCGGCGCGCACGTATAAAACGTCGGGTGGTGAACGTATAACACAACGATCGCGAGCGGCGCGATACACGTATGAACGGTGTTCCACGTAAGACGATAAACAACACACCGAATACCGGAGAATGGTAAATAACGTGCACGGCTAGGAAAGTGCAATTTGTAATTCACGTATCTTTCATCGTTTATTTACCAGTTATCGCTCAGTTTCTACAAGCAGCTCGTTCCCGGGCCGCGAGACCACCCCTGTTGGCACGTAACGAGCTCGAAGCAGGGCATGCCGGGGGTTGAGGCCTGTACGTTACAACTAGCGCCACACTGGCGAAAACTTCTGCCCTTTCGCCGTCTATTTACACGTCGCGATTTCTTCCCAGCGTATCGATATTTCAACCGGTGAATTTACTACACGAACCAAACCAGAAAGAGACCAACATTTTTCGTAAAATCTGCTTGTTGCATATTTTTTCCTATTTTTTTCATACCCCTTTTCTTTTTAAGGTTATTCTGCATAATACGCTTAGGGAAGATCACGGACGATACACGTCGCACGTTTAGAGTAGCGTGCAGTACGTTCGATCGCGTTCGTTTCATCGCTTTGTCGTTTTATTGTTTCCGATGGACGTATACTAGATTGATAGGTTGTAACCAGGGAACGTTGATAGTCGTAGATTAGATCGAACGCGATGGAAATTGTGCATGTTTGCTTTTTCAGTTTGCCGTGATGCGTAAAGTAGGTCTCGTGTAAATTGTTCCTTGGTGTTCGGTCCTTCGAACGTGTTCTTCTTCTCCCATTTTCGGAATATTATCGTTGGAAAATTGTCGTAGCAACTAAAATCGTGAACGTTCGGAAAATTGCTCGTTTACTTAAATTCTTCGTCGAAGATAACGGACGTTGGGAATCCCCGAGGAAAGAACGATTCAACGTCGAAGAAAAAACTACGAACAAGGCACGCGTACCTGGGCGGTTCGACCAAGGATTTGTTCTTTTTGTAATAAATTTATCATCGCATTAACATTCCCCGGGCTGATAGGCGTGCGCGCTCAACCGAACTATAAATAAAGACTGGAAAGAAGAGGAATTATGCAGCGAGGGGCATTTAATTTTCATGGAAACTTCTCGCCCGGTAGCAACGCACGCGAGCGTACAGGTAAACGAGAGCCAGATTTCCACGGAATCTGAAACTTCTCGTAAGAATTCAAATTTCTCCCCGCTCACCTTTTCCAACAAAATACAAAACAACACGAGGAAAATCCCACCGTGCGTAACATCGCGCAGATACAAAAAATTAACAATTTAAAACGTTCCTTCTTTTGTTCGTTGGAAGAAGAGAAGAAAAGAAGA